AGGCCACCGCCCCGACCGTCCACCACAGGCCACCGCCCCGACCGTCCACCACAGGCCACCGCCCCGACCGTCCACCACAGGCCACCGCCCCGACCATCTACCACAGGCCACCACCGCGACCGTCCACCACAGGCCACCGCCCCGACCGTCCACCACAGGCCACCGCCCCGACCGTCCACCACAGGCCACCGCCCCGACCATCTACCACTGGGCCCCTCTCCTGTGCAGCCCCTCAAAGAGCTCACGTCCACACCCTACTTCATCTCCCTGAGAGGCAGAGTTAACCCTCCTTGTGGACGGAGGTCAGTGCAGCGACCAGCCCAAGGTCACAGAGCAGGGGACATTCCAGGGGGCGAGGCCAGACCTCAGCTCAATCCGGGTGCCCTTGCTGCTCAGCCAAGTGCCAGGGAACCCAGCGCTCCTCCACGTGGAACTTGGCTGTCCTTTGGGTGGCCAGCTGGCAGAGGAATGGGACTCGGCCAGAGGGACTTCCAGAGCCAACCGGAACCCACCGGGGGAGGGACCCTGTGCAGACCCGGACGGGCCGGGGGTCCCTCGGCCAGCTGAGTCCAGTCGCCCCTGGAACTGCTCGTCAGGCTGCCCACCACGGCATCGCATCAGGCCCGCTGCTATTCCAAACCCAGAAATAAAGCAGCTCTTGGGCCACACTAACCGAGTCACAGGACGTCTCGTCATTTCCGGACGGACAGGAGCTGGGCAAAGGCTGCCTGGGCGAGATTTCTAACCAACGCCCTCCCGCACCCCAGAGGGCCACGGCACCCCTGCAGGGGCCAAACCCACGGGCCTGAGTCCATTGGGTCCAGATCTGACCGCGAGCATCTGGCTAGTTTGGGGGACATCGTCTCATATCCTCAGCCTTGGCCCCCACAACCGTAACACAGGCATGCCCAGCCCCCCCCACCCCGCCTCCAGCCAGCAGTGCATGGCAGTACCTCCCAGAAGCTGTCGCTGGACACTTCCACGCCCACGGAATCGTCATAGGTGACAGACATGTCTTCAGTGGATGACGGGCCACCAAGAGCGCCGGGCTTCCTGGGCTGACCGACTTCAGGTGCTCACAATCCGTGGACAAGCCTGTAAAAGAAAGCCAGGTAAGACTGGGGGGCTCAATCTGCGGTCATCTCCCACATTTTACAGACCACTGCCCGTCTCCACCCTTGCCCTCGGTACTGAACAGTCCACGTGGTTCCCACCAGCAGAGAACCCAGTAAAGCCCAACACCCTGGGCACTGATGTGTCTGTGTACGTCGGAGCTTGACAAGTTAACTTCTCAACACCTCGCCTAAAAGCAAAAGCCCCCTCTGAGTTCAAGGCCCTCCACGCTCCAGATCAACAGGCCAGCGGTGGGAGTGAGTGTGTCGGATACAGTAAGGTCGGCACACGATAGAGCAGGGTTAGGGCTCTTGTACATAGGGTCGCTGAGTCGCAAGCGACTCATAACAACCACCACAGGAAACCATGGGGTGCGCAGCTCAACTGGATCCCAGACAGTGTGACTTGGAACTGGCTCGGGTCTGCACCCAGGGAAAAGTCCACGCACTGTGGCCCCTGGACTGCACCTCAGGTATCCACAGAGCCAGCCCGCCCGTCAGGCAGGAGGATGGGCCGGGTGGGCTGGTGAGGCGACCAAGCCAAGGAGTAGGGTTCGGTAAAGTGCCATGGGGGAGCATGCCAAGCTGCCAACAGCTTCTGTCAGGACATTCTCAGACGGCACAAGGGCAGCCAGACAAGCTGCCAGCCTTCCGGCCCCGGCGACTGCCAGCCCGTCCTAATAAATCAGCCGTCAGCTTCAGGTCACACGCACTGAAGTCTGGCGAAACAGGTGTCGAATGACGTGGCCAGGAAAGCTGAGCCCGTGAGCCAGTGTCCACAGGAGATGTGGGGGGCCAGGGAGCACGCACGTTTGTCCTCCCGTGAAGGTGAGCACCTCACTAGCCCACTCACCCGTGAGGGGCCAGTGTCCTTTCACTTCCTCAGAGTCAAGCTCTCACGTGGAAGCCGGAACAGGCCTGAGTCTCAAAAGCCAAGCCTGCAGGGACCACTGCTGCTGTCACACGCCATGGACTGGGAACTGAGCCCAGCTGACCGGCCAGGGGGTTTTCAGAGGCAGTAACCACACAGGGAGGAGGAGCACCTGATGTTAGGAATCCTGGTCAGCAGGCTAAGCATTTGGGGCTACAGTGACGTGGTTTCTTATAACCGGTCTGCTGCTAATCTTAGCAAAAAGGATTCTTTAAAAAGGGTTCTTCTGCTGTAAGACCATGTTTCTTTACATCCAAGCGCTTCCTGACCTCAGGGATCACCCACACAGGTGCCAAGGTGACCCTGTTTCTTCTTCTGCCGCTGCAGAAGGTCGAACGGTTCAAAGGCCCCAAAAACGCCTCTTCCTCCTGCCTCACCTCCACCTCAGTCTAGAGAGCCCCAGAAACTCCAGAAACCCCAGGAGAATGTGCCCCCTCCTGGTGGCCCTAAGGTACTTCCCTCAGTTGAATCTGGCCAATGTGGCCTGTCTTTTGTATATAATCCTTCAACTTTGGTAGAGTTAAAAATAAATTTAGGCAGCTTTTCAGACGAGATCAGGCGCACTCAGGGTGTTCTGGCTGCATCTAGGCAGCTTTCCAGATGAGCTCGCACGTGTTCAGGGGTGTATCTAGGAAGCCTTTCAGGAGACCCAGAAAAATCACACTGAAGCCACTCAGTATTTTGCATTAGCTTGCAGCCTGTCCTGGAAGGACACGTTATCTTCAGTCACTCACCAATTTAGGAATAACTTGGGTCCTACGAGCTCTGACTGTGGGTCAGTTGTTTCAGGCGGGGACACAGCAGTATGCACAGCTAACCCCAGACAGGACTCTAGCATCCCCAGCTGAGGGTGGGTATAGGAATACTTTCTAGTGTCATCCAAGCGAGATTAAAAGCAGAGAAGCAAAAGGCAATGAATTCTACAGTGGTTTGCAGGGATGAGCAGAGGTTGAAAATCCTGAGGCTTTTCTAGAATCTCTGCGAGGTCCTAGGAAAATATCCCGTCTAGACTTGGACATCTGTTGGGGAAGGTCGTCCCCAAAGACAAAGTCCAAGCAGCCACAGACAATCGGAAGAAGCCGCAGAGCCGTGCAGGACCCAAGAATGAGCCTAGACAGCCTCGTGGCTGCAGCCGAGTCAGCACTCGGATCATAGACACAGCGAGAGAGGGCGGGAAGGGAAGCAGGGTGAGACGCGGACGTCAGACGGCTGAGCTCGGCTGCTAGACGCTCATCCAAACCGGTGGGCCGAGATGACCCAGCGGGACCACAGGCCAAGGATAAGAGCTGCCACATCTGCTGGGGGGAAGGCCCCACCCCGGGGGTACTCGTCCAAGGTGCCATGACATCACTGGCAGCCCCCTGTGAACACGACCCCATCCTACCCCAGCAATGCTGGCAAAAGCCCCACCCCCAGGCCCATGCTGCCCCATGGTGAACCACTGTCTGGGCTACAAAGGTCCCCTCCAGTCCCTCATGGCTCCACCATACATGGCCAACCCAGGGAGTAACGGCACAGCAGGGCAGCACACCCACAGAAGGTCCACAGGCATGGTTCCCAAACCTATTGCCTCTCCTGCTTCAAATGAGCAAGCCCCTCGCCTTTGCTTCCCCAAAACCATCTGCAGCCTTAGGATTGAATGTCACGCCCTACACGCTCTCGGGGCTGTCTCTCCAGCCGAGTGGGAACTTTGGGGTGATCCACTCAACTTAAAGAACTGAACCTTTTAGCCCTTGGGGAATGCTAGCAAAAAGGAAATGATTAACAACTGTCCAAGATGGCAAAGCCTTCCCAGGTACCCCAGCCCCACTGGGGTTATGTTCACCGCTGCAGGAACCATCCTGTGACCTTTCCAGTAAGCACAGCACACCTACAGACGTGGGCTTTTTGTTCCCACGCCTCCCTATAAAAATCTACGCTATGGCATCGGCCTGGCTCCTCTAGGGTGACGGCACGGACGTTAGACCAGACTCCACTCTCCTCACCACGCTCCCCGTAGCCCTCGGACTCAAGGCCAGCAGACCAGTCAGCATGCTGCCACGGTTGCCCCCAAACAAGCTCCAGCCCTCACCCAGGGTCACCCTGAGCGGCCTCACACCCAGCCCTGACAAGGGCCACCTGAGCCCGACATTCCAGCCGC